ACTTTAAACTAATCCAAAAAGGTAATTGCTTAATCAGTAATATTTCACCCTATCACCTCTAAAGATGGGCATTCTAAGCATCTAGGATACATAAAATCATAACTCATCAATGATTTTATTGGCTGAAACCACGCTTAACATTCAAATAACATTGCTTATGTAAATATATATATTTACATATATATTATATAAAGTGTTTTACAATGAGAGATGTTATTTTGAATAACCTGCTGTTGCGGTAGATTTTGGTTTTGAAGCTGTAGTTTTTTGACATTTGAGTAGTAAAAACTGCGCGGATAGTAACAACGGAACGATACACGCTTCAAAAACGCTTTGAAAATACTAACATTCACTATAAAAAAATGGTGAAAACGTGACAGAGACGTTTCGTAAGACTAAAATTTTTTCGGTCGTCGTGAAGCACCTTTTAGGACCACAATAGAAATGAATCACGTGCACGTCGCTCAATAGCAACTGCGAATATGGCTGCTGTAGCCCAAAGGGATGAAGAAAACAAAGGTTTGTCCATTCCTCTTCGTTCTTTGGAATTAGTCATTCCACAAACGTCATTACACCGTATTTTGCTTAAAAACTTGGGCCTTAAGGCTTACAAAGTTCCGTTAACACAAGAACTAAAGCCGGCCGATCATCAAGAACGTCATGTATTTGGCTGATTGGGTTCTTGAAATGCATGAAAATTAACCGTAATATCAACGAAAAATCATCTTGACTGCTGAGGCTTAGTTCTACCTAGATGGCTACGTCAATAATTATAACTGTCGTATCTGGGGTTTGGAAAACAGAAGATTTATTCTTGAGAAGTGTACTCAACATGCAATTGTTTGGTGAGGTTTATGGTGCGGCGGGGCCATTGGATCTTACTTTTTGGAAACTGAATGGATTGCACTATCGAATGATGATTTTTTAAGGCCGGAATTGTTTGGTATTTATCTGGACAACGTTTACTTTCAACAAGACGGCGTTACGTGCCACCTAAGCGAATAACACTTTCTATTGGAAAACACTTTATCTCATTGATACTAACTTTATAATATTTTTCATCACAATTTCATTATTTAATTGGAGTTTGTTTTTGGTTTTTTTTTTATTATTATTTAGTTTCAGTAGATTTTGGGTTTTTTCTTGTGCTCACGACTTTTATACTAAACAAAGATTATAGCATTCGCTGAAACTATTAAAAAAAAAAGTAATCAACATTTATCTTTTATTCTTTATAGATTTGAAGTAAACGCTTTCCATGGAGTCTCCTCGTCTCTGAAATTTTCCATGCAATTTTAAATCTAAACAATTAACAACATTTTAACCATTAACAAACAAACAAACAAAAAAAAAAAAAAAAATCACAAGAAAAACAACCCTAAACTGAGCGCAATAAGCACTTTCGAGACGTAGTCAATCTAATTAGTGCTTTAAATTTTCTTCTTGGATTACCTTTTGCTTTAGTCTCAAAAAAAAAAAAAACAAAAAATCATATTAACTCATGTTTACATAATATAAAATGCCAAACGCCTGCATAAATACATAGATTAGTAACTATTTATTGTAAACACTACTAATGAAAAATGTATGCAAAAAGCCGAAATAAGATAACTGTAAAAAAAACACTAAAAAACGCAAAGAACTATGTAACCAAAATCTAGCTAAGAAACAAACATAAAGTCAGAAATATTGGCCTTCAATAAATGAAACGACACTAATTAAGAAACTACACGAAAGAAGAAAATAAAAAAGAAACGCGTATACATTTAAAGTATGCGATGGTAGTGAAAAGTAAAGCGTAAACAAATTTTAAATAATTAATATTGTTGGAAGCCAATCATATGTAAACACGAAGGCCAGAAATAAAGGTTTACTCTAGTACCCTTAGCTATGCAATGTAATAAAGGCTAATATGTCTGCATGATAAATGACAAAACATTTTAAACCTACATACATATATACATATATGAATAACGTCCAATAATCAAAAGGAAAAAAGAAAAATACAGAAGACAAATCGAAATATTCGGCTAAGCCACACTTTTGCTCACTAATAACAATGCACCAATTATTATATTACCGGGTCATACCTGCCCATGTATGTGTGTGCAGTATTTTTTTAAATTTTTTTTTAATATTAAACCCAACAATACCAACGGAGTGGTATTGTATTATTTAATATACATACATACAAACATACATAAGTGTTCGTGCGCCACACTTTTAGCAATTTTATATTTTTAGTTGCCTTTATATCCACGATAATTATAATATATGAATTTTATTTATATTATATTTTATTTTTACGAAAAGCCACAAAACAAATGATGTTTTTAGTTTCAAAATAGAGAAAATATATTTTTTGCAAAAACCCTTTTTGTATTATTTTTTCAATGCATATATACGTGTACGATGTGCATATAAATAGTTAGATAGGCACATATAATATATACATACATACATAAATATGTATACCAATAAACATAGTTATGTTTATTTGTATTTTTGTTTTAATAATAAATGTATATTTTATTTTAATTTAAAGTTGTTTTTTTTTTTTCTTTTTTTAATTATTTTATATACATAAATACATATATCAGTGCGTGCATCATGACTTGCACTGTTTCACGTGTATAATGCACACCCGCACACATGCATATATTCCGTTGGCAACGGAAGTCGCAGAATACGCTCTTCGTTGAGATTAACACATACATAATTATGTATGTCTGTGAACGTGAATATGTTTTGTAATATGATATATATCAACTGTAATTATAAATGTCATACATACATACATAAATACATACGTACACCCATACCATATGTATATCGAATTTACAAGGAACGGAGAATATACGTGTAAGCAGAATATTTACCAACATTTATTTTATTAAAAAAAAAAGACGAAATTATGTATGAATTAATTTTAATAAAGTGAAAGAAACGTTTAAGTGAAATTTGTTCTCATTATTTGAGCTAGTAAAATGTTTTACTTTCCCAATGAAGGAATTTGACTGAGTTTTCACCGAACAGGATTCAGTAAAAATTAGTCAGCAAATTGTATAAAAGTTCTTTATTTTGGCGGTTGCATATGAATCCATTCATTTATAAAGTTTATCTGTGCTGCCTTTAAGTATTTTAATAAAATTGGCAAGAAATGTTTTTTTTTGACAGATTACGCTTGAGTCGTGCAATTTATCGAAATTTCACGTACTGCAACGAAGTTGTTTCCTGCGCTTCGCTCAACTTATGCTCAACATAATCGGCCTACTGAACGTATTTTTCACAACACCTTGAGACCCAGGATAATATCCGAATACATCACGTCCAGCCGCAGCAGAGAGTGTACACGAAGACCGTTGTATTTCGATTCAACGTATATTCACGGCGCCAAGGTTATGATTTGTATCACGTCCAGCCGCAGCAGAGAGTGTACACGAAGACCGTTGTAGTTCGATTCAACGTATATTCACGGCGCCAAGGTTATGATTTGTATTTGGCTCTTAAAACCGGGTGAAACCATCACAGGAGATCGCTACCGAACGCAACTGATGCGCCTTAGTCGCGTGCTAAAAGAAAAGCGGCCACAATATCAAGAGCGACATGACAAAGTCATCCTCCAACACGACAATGCTCGGCCTCATGTCGCAAAAGTGGTCAAAAAGTACCTGGAAACGCTGAAGTAGGAAGTCTTGCCCCACCCGCCCGTATTCCCCAGATGTCGCCCCTTCTGACTTCCACCTATTCCGTTCGATGGCGCAGATCAACATTTTCAATCCTTCGAAGAATTGGAAAAACGGATTGCTTCATGGATAGCGTCAAAAGAGGACTCCTTTTTCCGAGCCGGGATCCGAAAATTGTTGGAAAGATGGGAGAAAGTTGTCGCTAGCGAAGGACAATACTTTGAATAATATATCTGTAAGCACATTTTCGCAATAAGGCTTTTAATTTGGGAAAAAACGGCGGAAGCAAAGTTGCACACCTGATGAAAAAAAAATGGAATACGAGGTGTTCTTTTCAGGCGGAAGCGATGGAAAAGAGAACAGAACAATTAAATAGATTTGTAGGGCAACAAGCAAACTTATAGCAGCCTATTTTTTTATTGCCTTTTTTGTCGAGCTAGTACTGTGGCCGTCGTTGTCGAATTTGTGCTACGCGAAATTCCGGCAATCGAAACATAATCTGCTGATGGAACATTTACTCGAGAAGACTCTACCCAAATCTGTTTGAGTGTTGTTGTTGCTCATGCCGCGCTGCTAGTCATTGTCATCATTAATCACACCAAATTTAACAGCTCTTCAAATCCCATCCACGTTAGCAACAGACTTTTTAAGCCAATACCATTCGCTCTTGACTCTTTTTTGCTGTTCTTCAAATTCTATTCATTTTTAATTTTAGATCTCCCCACGCCTAAAATAGTTGAAATGATGAAACAGGAAAGATTTGCACTTTTATTATATTTAAATATACCGCACACAGCTGGTCCTACCGCATTAATTTTTCTGACAATAACTTTTAGTCTTTTAAATTGTGTTGGATTACGCTTTTTTGGAAGCTTTAAGCTAAAGGTTATTTTTCAAATCTGCTCCAAGAATCTCAAATTTATCGCTTGTTGTTATCCGCTTTAATTTCTGCATCGTCTATTAAGTTGAAGGATCGTTAGTAAAATGACTGACGATAAGAAACGACAGGAAACGATGACAATATTCAGCATGAGGGCGAAATTTAATTTTTCCAATTGCAGGCGCCTGGGATAGTCAAACTCTTCGAGGGTATTTCTGGCATAAAATCGAATTGAAGGAGGAACTCGGCGAAAAATTTCATCATCATCGACTGAAATATCATTTATTCGTGGAGGAAATTGGACGTTTTAAAAGCGCGTTCGGTTAGAAAAAATCATATATTTTTCTCGCCTATAAAAACCATGAATTTTAATACCACCTTTTCAATTTATATTGTCAAGCCACTTTGAAGCGAATAGAATAAAACCAACTGAATTTTTAGTATTTGCTTTCGTAATCTTCTTTATTAAACTACAAGTTGAGACCATATACATATAGATATATATAAATATATATGTATATATATGTACATACATGTATGTATTCACCATTAAAAAATAGTTATAAATTAGTATCAATATGCAGTATACTAAGCTTTAATTGATCTGTTTGTAGATTTAGTAATATAAATATATATGTATATGTGGCTTAAACAGACAAACTATGTTTAAGCACTAAAAAGTCTTGGAAGTTGTTGTTGACTGACACACGATATTCCTCCTACGTCAATTTAAAAATCCCTAACGATGTAACAATACTACAATACCACAAAACTACAATACTAAAAATTGCACTTGTGTATTCCACGCACTCTGCGCACAAACGCTTCCTCCGCTTCCTTCTCCTTCTGCTCCTCCTCCTCTTCCACGTACTGCACATCACTTCTTCTTCTTTCCCTGTCCATTTTGAGTTGGTTGTTTACTATTGCCATTCGCAAGTGTTTCCTTGGAAGTATTTGGCACGCCATTTGTGGCATTATTCATTATCTTAACATTTCGGGCGTTATATTGACGGTCGTCAAGGCTCTCCACTTCGTTCTCAGATTGTTCTGAAGAATTTGAATAGAAATAATGTTTGGGTTGTATTAATTCAATGGCACAACGGCGAGGGAACCATCCACGAGTCGGACCCTTGCGCTTTAGTTCTGGATTTCGCAACTCAATCGCTGGCACAACACGTTCTCCAAACAACCAATGCTCGCGAAAACGTGTTACCTTAATCACATCACCGGGTTCAAGGCGAATGCGAGCCTCATCAGTGCACGGCGGCGAAAGGCAAACACGCAAGCCTTGCGAAAAAAGTGGCAGGTAACGACCTGTTGCCGGATGTACACACCTAAATGTTTTGGTGCGAGCGCGCTTCTCCGCTTTCTGTGCAATTTGTTCGCGCTACAAATGATTTACACATTATCGCACGGATGACGGAAACATAGTTAATGTGAAATTAAAAGCAAATTAATTATGCACATACTTATTTATAAATTATACAAGAAATTAGCGGATATTTATGATTTACCGTTAAGGTGTACTGGTCGCAGCCCTCCAACACCGGCCACGTAATGCCATCACCCTTTGATACCAGTCTTTTACTGAACACTTGAAGTAAATTCTGCCGCCAACCCAAATCGTAAGGATAGACAAAATCATCTTCGTCCAGATTGCAGTAACGTCTATAGTCTGCTTTCTCCACTATCCACATTTCGATGCTAGTCTGATTTTTCAAAATCGACTTTAACTGAAAAATGCAAATCACAAATGGCAAGGCAAAGATTTGTTAGTATTAAGAGAATTTTGAAAAGAAAATGATTTACTTGTATATAGAGCAACATTCCCAATGCAAGAACAACACCAATCGCCAAACCTGTGGCGAAGATCGTCATTATAATGGTGGTCATTGTGAATTGTACTGTGGCCAGATGCATTTGACCGTGTGTCAGATACCAGTACCGATGCACCCCACGATAGAAAGCGAAACCCAAAATTATGGAGGCTTGAAAACTTCCCAGTATAGCGAAGGCGAGGAAGTAGGTAAAATACGCGTGATTCGCCCAACCCACGCAGTGATTTATCCATGGGCAATGATGATCCATTTTCTTAACACAACGGTTACCTAGAATGTAAATATGTACAGTTAAAACGTTTAAGAAAAATTGATTACTTTTATTCGACGTAATACTTACATTTGCGACAATGGTGGGAGCGAGGCGCTTTGTAACCTTCACATATCGTACAATATTGTAATTGGTCAACATCCTTTGGGTTCTACAAAAAAAAAGGAAACAAAACAGGTAAATATGAGTTTTAATGAGATTTGGGCGCTTATTGTAACTGGTTATGCGCCTCTATATTAAGGAGTTACATCTAGTTAGAATTTTCAAAAAATTGACTTTTTTTAAATTTAATATTAGTGTGTAAATATGTATGTACATGTATTCAAGTAGATACTCTCAAAATTTCAAGACCATCCGACTATTATTTTAGTAGTTACACGCATATCTGTAACGACGTGTCAGAGCATTTGAGCGCGTTGAGCCGGTGGTGTGGCGCCTCGTTTTTCTCAAAACTATATTTTTCTAGTCGGTGACCAAGATTGCTCGGGAATGGCTGAACTGATTAGTATCAAATTTTTACACGGGTTTCTGAATAATATTTTCTAGTACTCAATTGAAGCTTTTCCTTTACCGATTAATTACCATTAATGCGCAATTCACGACCAAAGTTATGGAGAAAAAAAATTTTTTTTTTGAGAAGTCACCATTTAGTCATAAACATTTGTTTGACTTATTCCTTCGATCAATTACAAGATTATACATTACTTTAACGTAATCCACTTGATTTTTTCCATTTTAGTTGATTCACTTCAGAAATACAATTATCAGCGCAAAACGTCTCTTTCGGGAGATCATTAAAAACTGTTATTTTTATAAAAAAAAAGTTGCTCAAACTACTCTTCAAAGGTGCTGTAATATGTGCACAAATGCTCAAAATAATAAAGCTAAAACTTTCCCCCTGAAAAATGTATGAAAAACCTAATTTTTTAGGACTTCTGACTAGATGTAATCCTTTAATCTTCATTGAGTATCGAATCTTTAGTGAAGCGTTTTGATAAAAAAAAAACAGCAAATATAGGGAGCGCCATTTATTGCGATGACATTTTAAATTTTAATAACTTTTGATTAAAACAACTCCCAACAAATGACCGCCTTTATTTTTTATGTAAAAATATGCCCTTTTCCGTGCATTTTGCATCACATTTTCCAGCGTTTAGGCGGTAATAAGTGATATAATATTTGCGGGCGAATATTGACTCTGAACTGAGCAATGGTCTGCGGCTTGTCGATGTACATTTTGCTCTCCAAATACCCCTATAAAAAGAAGTTCGGCTTCGAGTCGAAATGCTATCGGGTGCTGCGGATCCGTCCAGTTTAAACCAGAAGTGGGGCCATGCCATTTTCAGCCATTTCTGAAAACACAAAGTCGCATAACATCGCTCAGTAGCACGCGCCCTTGATCGCAACGGCATTTCTAGAGACGTTCTCAAAAAAAATACGGCCCAATGATCTTTTTGGCCGATACGCCACACCAAAGGTCACTTTTCATTCATGGTGATGTTTATCGAATCTCTCACGAGGATTTTCACCGGCCCAAGAGCTGCAGATTTGCTTATTAACCGCGCTGTTCAATGCGAAATGAGTCTATATCGGTGTTAGTTGATTCAAGGCACAAAATAGATTAAAATGACATCAATACGTCGAAAGATGGCGGAACTACTCAAGTTTCAAGTGCTATCGCAACAGATGGCGCACCCTGTAAAAGGCTGGTTTCATTGATGGATAAAGAATTTTGTTTCTACACTTAACATAACAAAACAATTTGAGAGGCAGGTAAATAAAATGTGTTTTAATCTTTTTATGCTTCTGAAAAGCTCCATTAAAGCTTTATTCCAATGAATTATTTAAAAATAATATATAGGGCTATCAATTTTGCGGTTCCGAAAATAAACACGAGCCAAACCTGATTAAAATACTTTATTTATAAAATTCCCTTTTTATTATAAAGTTTGAAAATCGGCATTTTATGCGCGTAGCGAATTTTTCCAAACGCCGATCCGTTTGATGTAATTTTCGACCAGTTTTTGCCACATATTGGACGGTATCTTAGCCATAACTTGCAAATGTTGGTTTCCAAGTACTCAAGAGTTAAAGATTTATCTGCAAAAATACGGTCTTCCGCTTTTTCCCACAAAAAAAAAGTCCAATGGAATCAAATCGCACGATCTCGATGGCCAATTGCCCAATACGTATTCTTCAATTTTAGGCCTAAAAAAGTAGGCTATCGTACGACCCTAAGCATTGATTGCACAGTGACAGTCTCGCCGTTGTCATTTTCAAAGAAGCAAGTTCCAATCACAACAACCGAAAGAGCGCACCAGACAGCAGAGTGAGAAATGTGCCTCGTCACTAAAGAAAGGTTTCCTCTAAGGACTGTAGGCAGTTCTTAAGTTCATTGTCAAGTAGACAATATAATTCCTTAAGAAAGAAAATTTTAGTAGAAACGTACTTTTGTTAAGATAAGCTACCATACCGCAATCAGCTGGTGAAAAATAACAAGGTAAATTTAATTTGTGGAGGAAAGTGAAAGAAATATATGCAAGATATATACAAAGAGGTGCAATATTATTTATATATATTTTTATTTGCGAATCACAGGTGTTTGTGCTTTTCAGACCAAGGCTAGATAGATTCAAAAAAAAAACTAGACCGCAATACAAGTTTTGCAGCACCAAAAGAAGACTCGGGAAAAACCTTTGTTTAGAGTCAGAACTTATCTTATGGAAAGGAATCTAAAGGTAGATTCAACACGGACTTTCAAAATAAGAGAAGTGGTACACAATTGTTCGTGGAAAACTTTCGTTAAGAAAATAATTGTTGGAATACATATTTTTTCAAAGTTTGCACGGCTTTTACCACATTAGTTATGAAAAGGGGCACATTTATCGCAAAAAATTATGAAGTCAACGATTCTTTAACTTAAGAGCAGCATTCAAGGTTCACATGGCAGCAGCAAAATTTTTTTTTAAGCGTGAGCTTGCGTGTTTTTATATGGAGTTTGCCCACTACTTCAGAACTGCATTCGTGGCCACATTTAAATCACCATTTTTGTGGTAGATTTTAACAGTTTCAACGCACTGCGCAGTTGTAGAGCGATCCATTTTAATAAAGTTTTACAGATATCGAAATGCAGCGCTAGAATTCTGAAACCCTGAAGTGGATAACCCTATATTAACTGTGGTGCGAAGTATGTAACAAAAGAAGGAGAAGATCAACTAAAATTTATACCGAAACAAGACGAGTTGATTTAGCCAAATTCGACTGTCTTTTCGTCCGTTTCAACCAAAATCGGTACGCAGTTGTATTTTTGCATTTAAAAGATTATTTTTCTGAGCCGGCTATTATAGATCGGATCACTATAGCATACATATTGGATGAGTGCATAAGTTCGTGCCCGATTTCAAGTGCAAACTATTGTAAAATTGAAATTTTTTGAAGAAAGCGCTTTTATTAATCAATTATATATTCGCCATCATGTTCGGCAATCCACTCCCAACGTTCAACCAATTTACGGATGCCTGATTCATAGAAATCGCGCGGTTTCTCGTTGAAAAAGGTGTCAAGGTGGTTTTTGACGTCCTCCACATTTTTAAATTTTTTTCCATTCAAATTATTCTGCAGCGATCGAAACAAATGATAATCAGAAGGTGCAATGTCGGGTGAATATGGGGGATGCGACATGATTTCCCAATTCATCTCTTTCAGTTTGGTCAGGGTCGGTTTTGCAACATGTGGCCTGGCGTTGTCATGATGGAAAAGAACTCCTTTGCCATTGGCCAAAATCGGACGTTTTTCATCAATTGCTTTCTTCAATTCGACCAATTGCTGACAATACTTTTTGGCAGTGATCGTTTCTCCAGCTGACAAGAGCTCAAAATAGATCACGCCACGGATATCCCACCAAATGCACAGCAGTACCTTCATAGGATGCAATCCACCTTTCGACACCGGTTCCGCCCCTTCGTGTGCCTGTTTCCATGTTCTTTTGCGTTGAACATTGTTGTACAGGATCCATTTTTCATCACCAGTCACGAGCCGATCCAAAACAGGTTCGTTTTTGCTCCGTCGAAGCAAAGAAATTGCTGTTGACATACGGTCCGCTTTGTTTTTTTCACTCAACTGATGTGGCACCCATGTTTCCAGCTTCAAAGTGTACCCAACCTTTTTTAAACGACAAAACGCAGTTGATTTGTTGACGTTCAATTCACTGGCATCCTCCTCCGTCGGAATACGTAAGTTATTTGCAACTAAAGTCCTTAGAACATCGTCATCAAGCTCAGAAGGCCGTCCACTGCGAGGTTGATCTTCGAAGTTAAAATCCCCAGAACGAAATTTCGCGAACCATTTCTTTACTGTGCGGAGTGCTGGAGCACGGTCCAAATAAACTTCGCGAATATCGTTAGTTGCAGCACCTACTGTTTTTCCTTTGCGGAATTCGTATAACATAATATGACGCATATGATCTTTTTCGTTGTCCATCTGCCATTCGTCTTTTCACTAAGAAACTCAAATCAAAATGAAGTTATTTTATGCTTGATTTATAGTTCGGACTGTCACCTTTCCAACGATATATAATATGTATATATTTCTTTCACGAGCGCCACTCTCAAACGATTCGAACGACATCCAGCGGAATCGGGCACGAACTTATGCACTCATCCAATATGTATCTACGTTATCTATTGACGTAATACCAAAAGAAATCTCTTTCGATTGTGACTTTCCAGCGCAATCGAAGATCAAAAGCAGGTCATAAAATTGTTTGAGTCTTCAATAGTACTTAAGCATATTAATGACATAAACTGGAACTTTGAACAGCTTCGTTCGTTTGCTAAATCTATATATAATGTGAGGATGATTTTTATCACAACACTACATTGCATTCGTTGCAAATAATAAAAGCTTGATTCAAATTCAAATCGATCAAGCACGACTCACGTACATATATATATATATATTTTAAAACTTTACATATATTCGCATGAACGCACAATTTACAATTCAAAAAGCCTACGCTTCCCTCGTGACGTCAATGATCTTCTTAAACTTCCAGAACTACGACCGCAACATCAACTTCGGCATCTCAACAAGCCTTTAGCACCATTTGTGATTCTAAATCTAATCGAATTAATAATTCGATCGAATTGGAACCAGATGAGAACGTGGAAGCCGACAGTGACAGTTTAAGCCCTTAAAGATATAATCAAAGTATGATGTACATGTATTTATGCAATGAATAGCAAATGAAGGTACAAATAAAGTGATTCCGGAAAGTTTTTTTTTTTTTTACTTGTGTGGACAAATTTCAAAGACTGACAGCGGCAGCTTAGAATCTAATTGTTGCTTTAATGGCTGCGTAAATAAGCAGAATTGTCAATTTTGGGGCGAAGTTCAGCCAGAAGAATTGCAAGAGCTACCAATGCATCCAGAAAAAGTCACAGTTTGGTGCGGCTTATGGGCTGGTGGCATCATTGGGCCGTCCTTCTTCAAAGATGATGCAAATCGTAACGTCACTATGAATGGTGAGCGCTACCGTGAGATGATATCAAACTTTTTTTGTCCAAAATGCTAGTGATTGGCTTGCATGGCAAATGGTTTCAACAAGACGGTGCTACATGCCACTCAACACGCGTAACAATGGAATTATTGAGAGGCGAGTTCGGTGACCATTTTGCTTCACGTTCGGGACCGGTCAATTGGCCGCGTCATGTCTATACAGACAGGCTACAGGCTTCAACTGGCGCATTGGAGCATTGAAGTATTTATTCGTGAGATACCGGCCGAAATATTGGAAAGAGTTAGATCGAAATAACGTCGTATCCACTGTTAAAAATTTTGGTGGTTCCGTCGTGGTAAAAGAGCTAAATCTCGGCTGAAGAAATTGGAAAATTAATTTTTACAGAATACACAATTTGCGCACCTGCTCTCCAGCGAGCATGTTGTCCATGTTTACCTGCAAAACATATTGAGACCAGATATGTTCGGCTATAAATTTGAGAAAAATATTAATGAAATTTTTAGAATACAGAATCTATCTCAAAGCCTTCGGGTGTTATTGCTCAATATTTAAATTTTGTTTTAATAAATATTAATACGTTAATATGCTACATCTGTAAGAACATGGAACTAACTACTTTATCAAGTAAATCAGAAACAAAATGGAAAATCTAATGTTTCCTTAATCGTCTTCGAATGCAAAATACTCGCCGAACGTTTGTATTTACTTACTGAAAGCCTTACAATGAGTTATAAAATCTTAACAATTAAATTAAAATATAAAAGCCCATTGGCTAGGAATGAGTCCCTGCTCTTCCGACGCGTTTGACTTGTTACTGAGGTCAAGAGCCACATGGGTCATATTATTGTACAGTTTTGCTACGTATTCTTTTCCCGTTCAACCCCTTCTTTGATGGTACATATATATTTAGATATCTATGGATATTTCCATTACGCATATACCACTGTTCCCCCCTTATTATTCTCAACCTTTCCGACTGAAATCTTTGTATGATAACTAGATTCGCTTCGCAAGCTGCAACCCATAACAGTATTCCATATATTCTTATCTGTTTTATAGTCGCATTTTCAAGAAATACCTTGTTTTCAAGGCTGAGCTCAGAGTTCTTGATTAAAACCCACAACAAACTGGAAAATTTAAGTTTCAGCTGATTTTTTTTTTTGCCGGAAATATATCGCTTCCAAGTTAATCACCTATCCAAAATATGTGATTTCGTTGGCTTGTGGGTTAAGCGCATTGTTGAGCTTGACGACAGGGTATGTACTTGGCCTTAATGCAATGCAATGTTTGCACTTATTTTCATTCAGAGGTGTTATAGGAACCGACACAGAACTGCTTATTTATCGGAATTTCAAATCAATATCTATTTGAAATGGTGTTATGAAACCGACTTGATTTTGCTTTTTTCGAAGATAAGCAAAATCGATATTCGAATCAGCTGTCGTCACACTTGTGCAAACAAAAACCCAGCGATACAATTTATTTTTTTACTGGTATTAACACATTTGAGATTATTAAAAATAAAATTACTTCCGCAGAGATAGCATTTTTGATTATAGAAGGACCAGCATAAACTTTTAAGGGATAACAGCAATCCGCTGGAGCTGCCAGAGTCGATGTAAGTGCAATTTGCATTTTACTTTTACATTAGTTGATACAAAATTTTGTTTATATGTAGATTCATAGATCAATATCGTCTTGACAAAGAAGCCTTTGTAATAGCGCTGGATGTCATTAAAGACAAGTAAGATAGGCTGTCTATCCCACATGTGCTGCAACTTGCAGTCACACTGCGGTTTTTGGTAGAAGGCTTCTATTAACAGTCTGTGGGACTCAAATATCTCCTTAGCGCGACCTGCAGTCTCTGAGGTTATAACAGAAATGTTTTTGAACGTTTGAATTGTCCACGCTGAATAATTTTAGGAACGAATAATGGAAAATGGAGCGCTCGCTCCCATTTTTACGTTATGTACTGTGTTCCAGGCATTGCTGGTTGTAAAATCCGTTGTTCATGACTTAAATTTATATTAAATCCCCGCTTGCAAAGAAATCTGTAGACAATTCTGTCAACGAATAACTGCTCGGTTTAATTCTGACATTTAAGCCGATAAATCGCTTTCTGTAGCACCTAAAATCGACACAAATTCTGTTTCGAAAATGAAACCGATATACAAACCAATAATCGGAATATGTAACCCTTTCAACAAAATTTTGTCGGTTTCAATTCTGAGTCCGAAAAAAATCTGTTTCTATTACACCCCTGATTAACTTTTATGCGCCACTTTGCTAATCATTCTTCCATTCGTTTAAGGTGCTGTTCTAAAACTGTTGGGTAATTTGGGCCCACTTATTACAGCAGTATCAGCCTCAAATGCTGACTGACTGACTACTTTGTCACTCGTAGGAATATCTGCTGTGAACGGTATATAGAATATTGATCCAAGAACAATACCATGCTGAATACCTGCCGTGATTGGATACTCCACTACTATGTATTCATTTACATTTACAGTGGATCGTCTGTTGATGAGTAGGATTCAAGGATATTGTGGAACGTGTTACTGAATGAGTTTAATTTTATGAATGAGGCCATCAAATGCATGAGTGTCATAAAGGGAAATAGTCGAGCGATATTCTCTGAATTCGAAAGCTTTCCCTATTTCATTTGTCATACAATTCACTTGTTCAATTGTGTCATGTCTATCACCCGATACAAAATCTAGCAAGTAAATCAAAAACATTTTTCAACTTGAATGAATTCGAATTTAATCTAAATTGTTTTTGAGTTAGTTTGACTTGGCCCTTAACTGCGAACAACTTTTATTAGTTATATTATTTCATGGATATACAAAACAACATAATAATTTCGTATGTTAACTAAATTATTATTCTACTGAGTTTTTTACCATATAAATATATATGTTCATATGTACAAAAAATTTGTTTTACGATAATAAATATTGCTATTTATTAGAAAGGGAAGTGTTAGAAACATTCTCGGTCGCGTGTAAGAAACAAATAATTGCCACCAAATTGATGCGGAACTTTAAATGCGCACAATAGCGTGAGCCGAAAATGGCTTCCTTTTGACTTAGTTTCCACTCAGATGGTTATCGTATGTCACTTGCGGAGGCGTGTTCCGGCAGTCAATACAAAAGACGGCGACCGATGGCGTGCTTTGTTTACGCTAAACTGCAACGTTTATTATGCAGAGGACCGAAAAAGTAAACACGACAGGATTATATACACGCAAACCCTCATGCACACATTCAAATTAATGTATATTTTTTTTTATACAAAGTTGAATATACAAATCGTTACCCGGTAGTAAAACAAAATAACACATAAAATCATATACTACATACTTATATATATATATATATATACTTTATATTATATATCGCTGAAGCGATTTTTTCATTTAAAGCCGCTCCGAACGACATGAAAGATTTTTATGAGGAGCTTTTTATTTAACTTCAAAAATACACTCCGAGGGCATGAAAATCTATGCCGGGGTGCTACCGTACCCATGACCCTCCGAATGTTAGAAATATTCTTGTATACATAATAAGTCGTATATATAATTGGCGCTTTGTAACCATTGAAGCGATTCCCGGCCGAGATCCTCCTCCAATTTGTGGTTTTGCGTCTTGATGTTTTTTCCAACAAATGGAGGGACACCTACAGTTTATAGTAAGCCGCCTCCGAAGGGCTGATGGTTTTTCCATGATAAGCCTTCATTTCATGTCGGAGAGGCTTACATTCCCTAACCGCAAGAAGAAAATTTAATTTAATATTTTATTTTAATTTCACTTTCTCTAACTTTTTGATGTTGGTCGTACCAATATTTGAACCATGGCCTTCCGAATGCTAACCACTCGGCTATTTGCTTCTTATAGCTTCCTACAAAACGAGGGAATCAGGTTCACTTATACTTTTTCTTGCCACTTGGAGTTATTTAAAGACACCAAGCTTTGCCAATTTACACTTCACGAAATCCTACAAAGGGAATGGAGGTTTTCATCTTACTTGTTTTTTTATCAGTATTCAACTTAGCCTACGAATCTTAATGCACTAGACTATACTTTTGTCGCCGAATATTTGATATAGAGAGAAACATACATTCAAAAAACCTAAAAATATAAAATATCTTTAACTAAATAGGATAACCTCCGTGGTAACATCCCAACAGATACTCCCTACACAGCCTTACATTATACTTCTTAATCGCGAGTACATATTTTTTGCAATGAAGATTATTTACAGACGACATTTGGAGGCTTCATGCGGTGCTATTATAGGCGGTGGCGGATTGAAACTTCTTCAACTGAGTCTCAACCTAAGTCGTCGAGGCTATCCAACGGAAGGTCCAGGAAACGAGCTGTTTCGCGAACAAAAACGCGGAAAAGTGTCTATTAAAAATTATCAAAGACTCGATTATACAGTAATATAATGGATTCTTTGGAAAAAGAAATAAGAACAAACAAATTCATATATACTCATGCATACATACATATGGGTATATTCCCATATTTCCATACTTATTGTTTTATAAAGACATTTGAAAATAAATTTTTTGAATGCACTTACCTTTGGTTTCCATTTCTTAGGTAATAAACCAGGTCCTGTCAATGTTGCCATTATGTAGTTATACGTGGTGAGCGTAGAAAACAATAAAAACAGACACTGATGAATAAAACCACCCAAACTAGCATTCGGTGGCCACCACATTGAGTTCATGTAGAGAGCAGTTATAGTTATAACTTTTATAATACCTGAAATGTATTCAAATTGTTTAGAAAATATCCCAATTCGGTACTTCAACAAAAATGTATGGCAGGAAAATATTGCCAAAAAATAAAGGTTGATTAATCTGTTAACTTTTTCTGATTTTCCCTTGTTTCTGTTAAAACTGCTCTTGTAGCAGTAAAATTAATTAATTATTATGATATGTATGTATAAGAAAGGATAAATGTATTTAAACATTAACTTATTACATACTTTGATGCCACCCACACTTGGCTCTCAGTGGTAATGTGATTAATTTAGATGTAAATTTTTTGGCGAGAACGCAAAAGGCGGCTTTCCTTTGGTATAACACATTGTATGTCAAATGAAAAAGGTAATGGAAAAGTAAAACATAACATTAACGCACAGTGGTACTTTTTACGAGTTGTTTACTTCCGCATTCAATAAACTTCAATAAAAGCACAGCGAGTTAACCCACCTGCGAAGGTTGGAAAAATACCTATTATAAGTAGTGTGGGATATATGTATATATATATACGTATATACTCATATAGGGTAAGCGTAGACGGACGTGGGCAATACATACAAAACGAGCCCCAATGATATTCAAATTCTATTAAGGACTCCGGCATCCGACGAATTATTTTTAAAATATGCCTTTTCCGAAAAAGAAAAAAATCTGTATTTATAAAAATTGCAATTCTTAGTCGATTTAGAATCAATATAAGATACTGATTTAATAAAAAACTGTTTTGAAATAATCATTAGTAAGCAGGAAAAATAAGCATGAAATTTAACACCAGTCAATTGTGCAGGCACTAGAACATTTACCCTATACGTGTTTGTATCATTTCTTTAATGTTTGCCAGAACCATATTTCTACGCCACCCAATGTCCAAAAACAAATTGAGACCAATAATAAAGGACCTTGAGCGTGTAATTTCCGCTGTGAATGTGGAAAGGGAAGTACGGAATTAAATGCGTTGTAAGAAATATTTTGAGACTTCCCGTTGAAGGGTAACAATTGCTAAGATTTATTCGGCCAAATATGGCTGGACTTAAATCTAACATATAACTTTCTATTTAACATAATCTATCGGTCGCGATAACCATGTGGTTACCATCATCCGTTCGGAGGCGGCTTAATATAAACTGTATTTAGGTCTCTCAATTTTTTGGAAAACCATCAAAAAGCATACCACAAATTTGAGAAGTTCGAAGAAAATCGCCTCATCAATTACAAAACGTCAATTATATATACATATACATATTTCTCATCACTGAGATTCAGCGCGTCATGAAGCTAATGGCATGGGTGAATTTAACTGCTATTTATTAGGCAAACTTATCCTTTCGGTTGACGTTAAAGTTCACGGATAAGAAACACGCCTAAAGCCTTGACATACAATTGCGTTCTTACGATGTCACACAAAGAATTATTAGGCATGACCTTTTTTGAACTGCCTTAAATTGTATCGTTTAAATGTTAGAAATTCTCTTTCCCCTTGCATAGTCATTTGAAGACATTATGCAGATTTATTTGTAACCATCTGCCAGTTCGCCTGCACACATACGTACATACGAGTATATGACTCCAACTTCTCTGTCTAAAATTGATGACTGCATTCTTTTGATTTTAGATCTTACCTAAAGCTGTTAATGGACCCCAATGTAAAAATCTCCAAATACCGTGCAACGAAGAAGCCATTTTTATACACCTTTACTTATTGAGAAAAATATGTCTTTTTGTTTATATTTTTTTGCTATTTTCTCTCGAACTACACAAATGAAACAAGCACTCAAAACAAAACCTGACTCGAATGAAAGCAAAATCGGCACTGACGTACTAAAAGCCGAAAATTCAGAAAATTTACCAAAGAACGTCAAAAGTGGCAAGCACGAAAGTCGAGTTGCCACCACTTTCCAAATGTGTTCTTCATTACATTATTTAACAACAATTTTATTTTTATTCAAAAAATTGACTTATTTACATATTTCATTTTTATAAATTAATAGATACGTGCATATATACATCAAAAGACAAAGATATCCTCTTCGCAATATTTGGGCTGTTTTATCTTTTAAATTGCATAATATTAGGCGCTTGATAAATTGGAACCTATGTTTATTCGTTTGTTCCTAGGTAAAACCATAAAAGTCATGCAGTAGATATGGGTAAATCAAAGTGATTATATTAGCAATGAAAATTTTTAAATAGCCAAGTAAAAAAGTTATTTTCATTCATTCACATAATCTTAAAATCAATTTCATTGACAATAATTGTAATAGAGTCTCAAACAGATATATGTGTGTAAATAATTCCATAATCGGAAAGATACGGCAACGTTTGGATTGTTGCATTTGATTGAAGTGTGGAATTCGTTTTTAAAGCATAAAATTAGGTAAAATTAATATAATTATTAAAATTTTAAAGAAAATAAGAAGTGATGATCTAAAAATCAACTATCCATATTACTAAATTGTATAGGCATCGAAAAATATTATTGAGAAATAAGATGGAGTACAGTGAAATGTGACTGTGAAATATCAACAACGCACTGGGGGACGAATGCCATGGAATTTCTCCTGTTATCAAAACACGTACACGACTGAATTAAGTCTTCATTTTATTTGCGTGCAAAGTTGTGCCTATATTCTTAGATTTCAGTAATCACAAAAAGTATGCTAAATAATTTGTCTATTTACCAATAATTTGGATTTCTTTTTAGAAGTAGTGCTCACTTTCTCAAAGCCAATGGATTATACGAATGTGTATATTCATATGTATATGATTGTGTATAGGGACTTGTTGCATTCGTTCTGGTTCTGATGTTGGAAAATATGTGTGTATGTGTTCAATTCATTTTCCTACCGAAGTGCACATATCTTTTGCGCCTCAAGATCGGTTTGCTTCCAATTTAATTTCTTTGCAAGTGTATCGCAACTTAGCTTGCTGCTTCTAGGCGTTGCTGACGTTTACATTTTTTAAAGTAAAATTGGATTTCGAAAATTTACAGTGCCTGAAAATTGATTATGAATTTTATTTTACATAGCTTTTAGTGTTTGGAAGCCATACTAGTTCTATTCAATAGAAAATTGATCCTTAAGAAGAAAGCAAATAAATAAATGCATAAGAAGAAAGCAAATGTACGTATGTATGTGTATGTGAAAATCCATTTGCACAAGTGTAAATATGTAAATACCTAAATGATATTTTTTTTATTTCTGTACACATTTATACTTCTCTTTATTTCGGAACTAATTTCTGATTCAGAAATATTATGTATTTAAATACCTAAATGATATTTTTTTTTATTTCTGCACACATACCTCTACTTATTTCGGAAATAATTTCTGTTTCAGAAATTTTGAGCTTCTAACTTCCGTATGTTTTTAACTAGATTTATAGTGATTTGATCACTATTACGCCCAAGGTAAACTTCCGCTTGAAATTTTGTAACACACTCTCTGACCAAATTTGAAAAATAATTTATCAACAGCATGTTAGAGTTATAATGCGAAATTAAACTTTTGCTGATAATATGCATATAAATTAATTTTCAGTAAACATGGGAGATACAAACAAAAAAAGCAGCCCGAAGGCTATAGAACTAGGTTATCATCAAAGCAGCCCAAGTAACGCTGTAAAAATTTTAAATGAACGGGCTTCAAAGCGAACGAAGCAAAATAGTCCAGATATCAGCACACCATTAAAACATGTCAAGCTCTCCATAGGCAAAACCAAAACTCCACCTGAAAATAATGAAGACATGGATCATTATGTTTTGAAAACAATAAAAGACGAAGGTAACTCAGATGGCGGAGAAACCATAGCTTTTGTATTATCCGACAAGAATGAAAAGCCAAAAGAGATTGCTAATGCTGCAAGTGAAGTTGCCGAAGAGCTGCAGATAAGCGACGATGAGGAGGATGACGATGATAATGATGGCAAAAATGATATGGTTGAGCATGTGTGCGGAAAATGCTATAAAACTTTTAGACGTTTTAGTGTGAGTATATGAATTTTCTTGTAGCGAATGTATAAAAAAAAACATCTATAATGTCTTTGACCACACAATTTGCTATTCTATGAAGTCTTTATAACCATCTTTCAATATAGTACACATAGGTGATTAGTTTAATTTTTCTTTCAAAATAATAGGGACTTAAGAACCATATGGAATTTTGTCGCTTTGACAGTGGATATCATTTACGCAAAAATGAAATGTTAAAAAACTTGGAAAAAATCGAAAAAGATGCTATTACTATGGAAAACAAAGATATTTGCTTTTGTTGTGGAGAAAGCTATGACACATTCCATGTACGTATTACAATAACTTTACATAATGAAAATTCGCTTAAAAATAAACAAAACGCAATTCTATTATTTTTAATCACAAGTTGTCAATATTTTTTGTTCCATTTGGTTTCATTAGTATTTATATTTATTTTATTTTGTTTTAATTTTCTTTTTTTATTATTAATTTCTATATTTTATATCAGTTGGGACATATAAATTGCCCAGATTGTCCAAAATCCTTCAAATCGCAAATGAGTTACGAACGTCACATATTTATTACACATTCTGAATTCGACACTTATCCTTGCTCCATTTGTAATGCAAAGCTGCGCAGTGAAAATTTGCTTAAACTACACGAAGAGCAACATAAAAATCGAGGCAAGCCCTTTGCTTGTAAAATATGTGGCAAAGACTTTACACGTGCCTATCACCTTAAACGACATCAAAAGTATTCATCCTGTTCGGCAACAGGTAGTGATTCTATGAAATGTAAGGTGTGCGATAAGGCTTTCTTCCGTTTGGACAATTTACGTGCACATCTTAGACAGCACCTGGGTACACATGTAACTAAGAAACCCGAATATAGATGTCCACAGTGTAAAAATTGTTTCTACAGTTTATCTACTTTAAAGTAAGTCTTATGTAATTTATTTATTATTACTTAATTTACATACACCGAACCCCTTGATAATGTATAAATTTTGTACATTTCTGCAGCATTCACACTCGAACACATACGGGGGAGCGTCCTTTCGATTGTGATTTGTGTGAAAAGAAATTTCCTTCTTTAATTGCGTTGAAAAAACATCGACGCTATCACACTGGAGAGAAGCCTTATACTTGTTCTGTGGTAAGTTTGCTTTCAAAAAGTTCGAAAATGTATAAGATTAACATCTGTATATGCTCTTGTAGTGCAATCAATCGTTTGCAGTTAAAGAAGTGTTAAACCGTCATATGAAGCGGCACACAGGAGAGCGACCGCATACATGCCCGGAGTGTAAGAAAAGCTTTATTCAAGCATCTCAATTACGTAATCATGCTCGTACGCATATTTTGCCTTTTGAATGTTCAGAATGCGATCAAAAGTTCAAAACACAGAAACAGTAGGTTTATTTATTTAGTCTTTGCTTTAAATTCTCTATACGTATACATACATATATACAACAATTACATTTATAATAGATTGGAAAAGCATGGAAAGGTACATTTAAAAAAATGTTTAGATTGCAATAGTACTTTTCGCGATCAAGCAGAATTGGAAGAACATATGGCAAAATCCGCTCATAAAAGTGAGTAATTCATGAAACTTCTATTTGGTCTTATGTGTATGCCTGAAAGTAAACTTTCTCTTCAAAACTCAACAGATACCTGCAAAACGGCTAGGAAAACAGCAACACGTAAATCTACAAAACGCAAGCGCACGGATTGTGCTGTATGCGACCAAAAGTTTGGCACTGTTAAGGAATTACAATTTCATATTCTTAAAGTTCACGAAACGGACCCTGAAGATTTTGTTAATGAAAAACCAAAAGACACTAAAACTGTTAAACCTGTAAAAGCCGATGTTTACAAAATAGCAGAGGAGACATCAAATGAAATTCAAATTCTAAGTGAAACTGAAGGTAATGCCGCCATTATGGCTGCAGGCAGTGTGAACAGCAAAGAAATTTATAATAACAATGAGGGCAATAATGGTGGTTTAGTTGTGAAAGAATTCATAGTCAATAATGTACCTGCCACTAATGAAGGGGATATTGTTTTGCATGATGAAGCATACACTGTTATACCGTTGGACGGTGATGGGCCAATTGAAACTGTTACTGCTGTGACTGTGGGCTCCATTGACATAACTACCGAGGTTAAAAAAGAGCGACGCAAATCATTGGCTGAATCACTGGCTGTGGCTATTGGAAACGACAGTGTGACTTTGAAAGAGCCGATTCAGTTGAATGAAGAAGATATTAAATTAAAGGAGAATGTTGGAAAACTACTGGATATGTTGGTCGACAATAAGACATTAAAGAAATTCGGCTGGCCAACCAACTCCGAAGAGAATGTAAGAAATATATATGTATATACTATATATGTATGCATGTAATACAACGTGAAAAATGTCGTATGTCATTTCATTACAAATAATTATTATTTTCTAGGTTTTATGTCGTGTTATTGAAAATTGTGGATATAACTTAACAAAAGATGCTGAGCTATATCGTGATTGCGATTATGCAACGCGAATGCGTGAATATGTAAAGTTGCTATTTACCGTAGTAATTCATAATGATTCTATTAAAGAATTGTTAAATAATTATCCCATTGATGAAGTAGTTGAATATGTTTTGGGTAATGATGATGACGAAGATGATGATGGCGATAATGACGATGATGGGGAAAATAGAAATTTTTGAAATAATTTTATTACACATAAATGCCTTGGTTATTTTGATCTAAAAATAAGATTTCTAAAAGAACATATGGAGTTGAAGTTGCCTTCTCACGTCTTAGCTTTTTGAAATGAAATTTGATGTTACTATGTACAGATTTATATACATATACATGAATTACTATTATTGAACTTTTTACTATATGAATATATATATATATGTAGGTATGCCAGCATTAAAATGTATTACGTATTTTTTTACAAATGAAATGAAAAATATTTTATACAGATATACACTAATACTCGGACATGCTGGTATTAAGCACATTTTGTAAAATATTTTCCAAAGCAATAAATACCAATTGAATTGAATTGAAGTTATGAAATAACAACAAAATGTGTTTTAATGTAAAAACTTCTCGCCTAAAACCTACATACTAATATTTGATACTAATGGATTTCAAATCAATACAAAAAAAAAACACTAAATTATATGATCCTTGTTAAAAAATTATTCCTCACACAGTCGCAAAGCTATTTCATGTTTGTGTTGTGTGATTTTAGGCGCTTTTGAGTTTCTACGGTTGAAATAAAATTTTCAGCGCCAGTACATTTAATCAAATCGGGCTGGTAGATATAAAAAACTAAAGTTTTGTTTGAATCAAATTATAATTTCGAATTATTATATACTCTACACTGAAAATCTGGTATCTTGCTTGGCTCAAGTCAAAAGCTGATAATACTTACAGAGTTCTGCGTTCCTGGAACAAGTAAGGATTAAGCAATATTGGTTTTGTGTCTTCAAAATGTAGGTGAAAATATATAGTAACACTTTGGCTTAGCGGGAATCGAATAAGATTTTATACTGAACAGTACATAACCTTTTCTGATGGTGAAAGCACTCAAGATATGTATGCGTAGTACTGGTATTCCCGATAAGCAAGCTTTCGAAAAGAAAAAATTATACCACAACCGCGATTGATGATCTAAACTCTGTCCGCTCTAAATTTTGCGTATGCACCTCTTACGTGATTATGGACTATAGAATAATAGCACGCCATTGAATTCTTCTTCAACCAACAAGTGAATACTTCACGTGATATTTTCAACGCAGTATTGAGAATCTTCGCCTCTTTTCACCGGAGGGTACAGTCTCGAAAATTTTCAAAACTAGAGTATTTTCATTCATCCAAGCATGCGTCCAAACTTGTTATATGTCGTTGTTCTTGGAGCGGTTTGCTAACCCCGCTTGGGTATCTAGGTCATCGAGACCATCTATGGGGACATGCAAAGAGGTGGTTAATACTGTGCGGAGACTCGTTGTGTGCCGGATATAGTTGGATTTGTCGGTGTCAAGTCTAGATAGGTAGCAGTTTAATCTGCTACAATATCTCAATCAAAGTTCCAGCGTCAGTATTACGTTTAATTTTGGAGCTCTTTGTATGAAGTAGCTAGTGGTTTGGCTCCAAGAACGCTATTCATTTGAAGAGAGCTTAGCAAGGTATTGACAGGCTCTCTGTGAATGGCGTTCAAAGCCTGTCGATAGACCGCCCTGTCCAGCGGTTTTTGTAGATGATGTTGAATGCAGTGATCCTACACGAATGCCGTCATCCTCCACGCTTCTACACCAAACAGCAGACAGAGAATAATAAGAATCTAATAGTGTTTGAACTTTTTTTCGAGAGAAAACTTTTTATTGCGATCTAAAGAGTTCGACGTACAGGACGTCTACTCGCGAAGTTCAAGTGAACCTTGATATACGATCGTGAAGACTTCTCGAGTATTTTGAACTGGTAAACCTTGCGAGTGCCTTGATATCTAGCTAAAATCGAAAACAAAAACAGAGGTGTTTTTTAACGTATCACTAAAACCTTCCTACCAGCCCTGCTTACATGTGTGGCTACCACTAATGCCGAATTCGTTTGCATGGGATATCAGTAGGTTTTGACACGTCATTACGCCAACAGCTGTAGTGCTGGTTGCTGGTCCTTAGAAAGACGAAATAACCGGCAACAGCCAGTTTTTTGATCACGGCTAGACCCATGCGTGTCACTTCCATGCCCAAGCAGAACCAACAGCGCGTATCACTGGATGGGTTGCTTCGCCGAATCCTAAGATTGAAAATTCTAGTTCGAGCTCACAGTGATCACATAAAATCAAAAATTTCTTTTCAACTGAGTTTCTTCTCCTATTGCAGTGTTGGTTGGCTGATAGATTTTTGTGAGAAACCTTTTATGTCATGTCAGTTATAAGCTTTCTAGCATTGGTATTGCCTACCCATCACTTTTAGAACTTTTTAGTCATTGTCTGGGCAGGACTAAAGCCACTGACTCTCCGGCTCGTTGCACTGTAACTCAATCAGTTGCTGCGGTCGTCAAACACTTAGCCGACACATACCGAAACGACCACTAACAACAACACTAGCTAATGTGACCTACGTAATAATAAGCGAAAGTGAATGTTACCAAGTCAACGAAAGGACATAACAAACAGCAGGATATGTGTAACACTTCAATTCATTAAGTGTAAGAGTAACATTCATTGATTGAAATGTTTCAGTGAAGAACATAAGTCGGTGCTTTACTAAATTAAATACAATATAAAATTAAATAAATTATATATTTTAATAATGGCCGACTTGGACTCATCTGTGATAAAACGTACACAGCAAACGTTGGGAAAATATGTGAAGAAACCACCCTTAACGGAGAAATTGTTAACGAAGCCTCCATTTCGCTTCTTGCATGATGTCTTTAATGCTGTAAGTTCTACATTAGCTCCAAGTATATATATGTATATATATATATATATATATATATGAGTATTTCAGTATATAATTTTAGTATATAAGAATATGTCTGACCTAATTTCAAATTATAAACTTGGCAGGTTATTAAAGAGACCGGTTGTTTTGCTGGTTTGTATACGCCTGAGGAGCTGAACTCGGAAAATATCAAAGACCGTGATGATAAGATGAGGTTCCTGCAAAAGATGATTGACGTTATAAGTAAGTGTATTGTGCATTCCAAATTCAAAATCGATACCATAACATTAATTGTGTATCATATTTACTTACTGCAGAATTGATATCCAGCAAGCCTCTAACAGTAAGAACCTCCAAAATAGTTGCTGGTCAAGAGCCTGAAAAAACCAATGAACTATTACAGCTGATTGGTGAGGTGGTTGACAATAAGTTAGATTGGAAAAATGCTGTAGATGAGGTACTAAAAGTCAAAGATGCAGCCAAGAACGCAGCTACGTCGAAATCCAAGCCACCCGACAAGCCAATGGATAGAAAGACTAAAGATAAAGAAAACAGTTTGAAGGAAACAAAAGCTAAAGAAGCTAAAAAAGTCGGTAAAACCATAACGCCCACGCCTAAAAGTGAAAAGCCTTCGAAGAGACCTGTAGGGCGAGACAAGGAAAAAACTGGTAAAGCGTCAAAAGAACAAAAGGATAAGATTGTTAGTAAAAACGAAAAATCTAAGTCTTTAAAACCTAAAACTGATATTAAAGAAAAGAGTCCTTTGCCATTAAAAACAGAAGACACAAAGAAACAAAAGAGTTTAGATGTAACAAATACCACATCTAATGAGCCAACCGATAGCGATGCAATTGGTTTTGGCCCAAAAGTAGTAGAGCAGAAGGGCTCACCAGCAAAACAGAGCATTCCCAATGAAAATAATCGACGCAACAGCAAATCATTAGTACAAGATATGATGGCCTCGCAGCTAATATTGGACAGTAATCCAACTATGGAAACGAATAAAGCGAATATGGAGCCATCAAATGACGCTGGAAGCCGTAAATCATCTGCTAGGCAGAAGAGATCTTCTGGCAGCAGTCGGCGATCGAGCGCCAATGTGACGTTACGTGAAAAGGTTGTGACTCCAATATCTGAGCCGCAAAATGAAAAAAAAGACGAAAATGAAAATATACAGAAGAACATTTTGGAGAAAGCAATAGAGAAAACAACGCTAACTAACGAGCCGCCAAATGAACAAGAGTTAGAACCCTTACAAAAGTCCAACTCACAACCGCAAAAACCGGAAGTAACTCCACAACAACAAAGTCCAACACAAACACCTATGAAGCCCACACCCCCACCGCCACTATCAACACCTACCGAGGTTAGACGCGAGTCAACATTTACACGGGACAATTCACGTGAAAGTACCAGTAACAATATTACAAATCGGCCGCGCACCTCTTTGCGTCCGCCGAGTGCGCGTCCTGCTTCAGCCCGACCAGGTGCACCACGTAGGCGTGATCGTAATATTGAAATCGTGTTACAGCCCAATGATGAGATGAAAATGTCCGGTATCAATGTAAAATTGGAGAGTTTTGGCGATCTAGATGATGATGGTGAGAATTTGGTGGTAATTGAAGATGCCAGTACTGTCGCTATTGCGGAGCCGCTCGAAGATGGGGAACGTGTGAGTGATACAGTCGTTGGTAATAACCTGGAGCAACAAGGCCATTTGGTACAACAAATACTCGAAACACAAAAGGAATTTCAACAACAGCAAAACGGAAATAACTCCTCCGGGAAGAGTGACAAGGTAATAATTATACTGCCACTAGATTTTTGAAGAGGTCAAAAAGCGTTTTCCAGTACATTTGTATTGTGTATATGGCAATTGAGGAGTTTGGGGGGGATTTCTACGTTCATATATATTGACCCTTTTTCTTTATTTAAGTCACTTACTTTACTGGCGTAGACACCGCTTACGCGATTATAGCCAATTTAAAAACATTGCTCTATTCGTTTCTTCTTTTTGCTCTTTGGGGCCAATTGGAAATAGCAAGTACAGTCAGGTCCTTCTCTACTTGATCTTCCCAACGGAGTGGAGATCTTCCTCTTCCTCTGTTTTCACCGGCGGATACTGCATCGAAAACTGTCAAAGCTTGAGTATTCGCATCCATCCGAACCACCTGAGCTAACCAACGTAGCCGCTGATTCTTGATTCGCTGAACTATATCAATCTCGCCGTATAACTCGAACAGCTCATCGTTGCATCGTCTGCTGTATACGCCATTGCCAACGCGCAAAGGACCATACATCTTACGCAAAACCTTTCTCTCGAAAACTCCTAACGCTGTCTCATCAGATGCTGTCATCGTTCATGCTTCCGCACCATTTAGCAGGACGGGAACGATGAGGGACTTGTGGAGTTTGGCTTTCGTTCGTCGAGAGAGGACTTTACTTTTCAATTGTCTCAAGTAGCACCTGTAGGTAAGGGTGATTCTGCGCTAGATTTCAAGGTTGACGTTATTATTGGTGTTAATACTGGTTCCAAGATAGATGAAATTATCTGCAACTTCAAAGTTATGATTGTCAACAGTGACGTGGAAGCCAAGTCGCGAATGCGATGACTGTTTGTTTGATGACAGGAGATATTTCGTCTTGTCCTCGTTCACTACCATACCCATTCGCTTCGCTGCTTTATTAAGTCTGGAGAAAGCAGAACTAACGGTGCGGTTGTTGAGACCGATAGTGTCACTGTCGAGCCAAAAAACAAGAAACTGGTAACAAATAGTTCCGGGCGGTTGGTAGTCTACCAGTACGTAATATGAGCCTAGGGGTTCCTTATCAGTTAAGTAGGATATTTATGTTATAGTCATCTGATTTTCAAAATCAACATTAGTTTCTATGAACCAAATCACATTTCTAATAAATATTCTACACACGTATGTACCAATAAACATTCGCACCGGATATCATCGAAACCGGAGGATTATACCACTGAAGGCTCAATATAACCGATTTGCTCAGATATGAAATATTGGGTCGACAATCTGTCTAAAAAGCAAATTATGGCGCCTCATTAATGGCCGGAAACATCTCTTCGCCGCCATCGGGAATTTTTGGATGAGTTGCACAAAGCGTTAGCTACTGGATTAGGATAGTTTTTCAATTTTGTGAAGTACCTCGCTCTGCTACTTTCAACTTCAGGCTTAACCAGTGAGTTACCAAAGCCTGTATGTTTGTTTACGTAACGAACATGCCTCGATGCGCTCGGTACTATCCTTAAAGTTTTAGACTGGAACCTCTGTATTCTCTCAATATTAGTTTCACAGGTTATTCCCCACACTACTTGAATACCCCACTTTCAATTTGGAATTATAATAACTCATTGTTTACGAGTACTTTGTTTTCATATTTCCTTGGGGAATAGTTTTACCATTTCATCTAAATGCAGGACGTGCTTATGGACGTAATGTAAGTGCAACGTGTTTACGCTTTTGCTCATTGATTTTAAAACTCCGGTTTGCAACCCATTCTTCGATGAGAAGTATCTGGTTCCCAATTGTTTTCAATGCTTTTCTAGGGGACTCATCACGGCATAATAGCCGATGGCCATGGTTTATTGGGATGCCTGCAGTGTTGATATGTATAAACTAGGCCCAAAAACGACACCTTGAGGAAAATCCAGCTGTAAGTGGAAACTGATCAGTGGTAAATCTGAATTTGATTATTTTACGACAAACCGCCTGTTAGACAGATATGACACAAATGTATTGTAGAATCGTTAAAGCAAAAGTTGTGTTGAACGCTTGTGGTAAGTCAAGAAATATTGGACAGCAAAACCCCTTGAACTCGAATGCCTTCCCAATTTCAGTAGCTGCTTCTCCCAAAAACCGCATTGATGTTCATGTATCACTTTGCGGGAGAAACGGCCTCAAACTCGCTAAGAAATGAGCGAATGAGAATAAGAAAAAGTTACTGTTATACTACTGACGGGTTGAGAAAAGCAAAAAAGCTCATGGACTGTTACCATACCCGAAAATTTAGACACATAATATTACTTGGTAAGAATAACTTAAGAATTCTAACAGGATTTCTTAAGGACAATTGCAGACTCTAATGAAACTTGCTACAACCAAAGACACCGGAGTACTTACTATTGGATTACGAAGCTGTTGCTAGAAGAAACCAAAGACATCTATGACTCATTCAGCACAAGGAAAATCACATTAAAACAATCAACTCTTCAAGACTGGCTAGGTTTTATAAGTGCGTTAGGACTGTTTATTGCAATGTGAAAGAATCGGAGGACACAGTAGACCACTAGCCGCGGTGCACACACTCCATACTCATCTATTCATCTATCACTTCGTTACGATGGAGAAAGGGATATTTTAGATAACAGAAATTTTATTATAGATCTGTGTGGCCTTTACATGGTTGAGTTATCATTAATCTCTGTGACTTTTTCGACGTTAGCATTGCTAGTGCAGCTCTTGGCTGCTCATTTCGCATTTTTGTTGTAAAAATGTCACTGCCTGCAGATTTCTATGGATCCAATTGTATTTACAACTTCCAGAGTTGATATCTCAATCGTCTCCTGAGTTTCAATGATTTTGGATTTGGATTTTCTTCGTTACTACGCGTCCAGTTAACATTTGTGTTTCTGATTGGTTCATATGTGCCCTCCATAGTGAATATTTTTCTTTTGTAGAATTTAGCGTTTCTTTAATGATTCTAATCGTAACATTGAGGCCGAAGAGCGATATGCCAGCAATTTTCTCCGCAAACAACGCATTTTTTTTACTAATTCTTTAATTTCGATATTTTTTATGTGTTTTTGGTAGTAAACCGTTATAAAAATTATAGGTCTTTCTATCCGTAAGAAAAAATGTTTATGCTTCTGCCACGGCATTGATCGAAGGTTTTTCAATAAGAGGTGTTATTTTGATATTGAAAGAAACTTTTCCCTTAATATAACGATGGTTCCTCTGCCTGTGTAGCACGTGCTCTGTCTTTTTAAAAGCAAGCGTCGCCCATGTCAATACCATCCAATTCAGGCTATAAAAAACCATTAATCATCTCTCAGTAGGGCACTCAATTAACTGTTTCTCCAACACATACACGTTGAGGATGAAGTGGCGTTTCAACAAAAGATCTTGGGGTTTCCGAGCCTCGAATGCGAAAGTTTCGCTATTGTCGTATCAGTCAAGATGATTTTTCGATAGAATTTTTATCAGGTGTACAACTTTGATTCCGCCGTTTTCCGATAGTTGGCTGTACCGGCTGAGGCTGGTTGAAATACATAGATGATAATGCCTTTAAAGTGAGTGTGGACAGTGCCTAACGAATTGTCCTCGCCGTTTCAGTGACAGTTGTTCTTGTTTCCATATTATTCACGCTCGAAAATGTCCGTTTATGTGCCTAATTCTCGCCATTTGCGGGAAGTTTTACTTTTCTGTTACAATTCCAAAAAAAAATGCAGCTGAAGCGCATCGAATGCTCTCAGAAACTTACGGTGGAAAGAACGTGTCGAGAGTGGTTTCTACGTTTTAAAAATAGTGATTTCGATGTCGAAGACAAACATGGTGGTGGAAGAGAAAAAACCTTCAAAGATTTACTACGAGCTCTTAAAACCGGGTGAAACCATCACAGGAGATCGCTACCGAACGCAACCGATGCGCCTTAGTCGCGCGCTAAAAGAAAAGTGGCCACAATATCAAGAGCGACATGACAAAGTCATCCTCCAACACGACAATGCTCGGCCTCACGTCGCAAAAGTGGTCAAAAAGTACCTGGAAACGCTGAAATGGGAAGTCTTGCCCCACCCGCCGTATTCCCCAGATGTCGCCCCTTCTGACTTCCACCTATTCCGTTCGATAGCACACGGCCTGGTAGATCAACATTTTCAATCCTTCGAAGAATTGGAAAAATGGATTGCTTCATGAATAGCGTCAAAAGAGGACTCCTTTTTTCGAGCTGGGATCCGAAAATTGCCGGAAAAATGGGAGAAAGTTGTCGCTAGCGAAGGACAATACTTTGAATAATATTTGTAAGCACTTTTTCGCAATAAAGCTTTTAGTTTTGGAAAAAAACGGCGGAGGCAAAGTTGTACACCTGATTTAGTGAATTTTAGTAAATTCAAGGCGTTGTTGAAACGTGTATCGTTCTATTTTTATTATTGGCACAGTTTTCACTTCACTCTAGGTTCCTTCATTTGTTGGATAAACATCAAGACTCAAAACCACAAAGTGGAGGAGGTGCTCGGCGGAAAATGGCTTCAGCAGTTACGAAGCGCCAATTATATATATGTATGTAGTTTTTACTTGTCAAATGTCCAACAATTTTAGCTTGAAAAGTGACTTTTATTGGAATATCAGGTTATTCAAAATAACACCTTTTATTGAGAACCCCTTTACCAGGTTTTAAGTATCCTTGAGTAAATAAAATGTATTTTTCGAATACAGGAGATGGAAATTTCCAATAATTTAACCGGTCGCCAAAGCTCAGCACGTCAAATGAATAACCTGCGAGATATAATACAAAATTTGACAAAGTCGGTTAATCCGTTTGGTAAATTAATGGATTTCATACCGGAAGATATCGATGCCATGCAATTAGAGTTAACCATGTGGCGGGACACATATACACAAGTGGCTAACGAACTTAGACGGGAAAAGAGGTATGTAACTATGTGTTAATGAGATTATTTAAGTTATTTAATTTTTCAAATATAAATAACGACTAAACTCATTTAGCTATCCGCTTATGTATTGTATATTTTATTTTTGTTTCAGTCTGACCGAGTCGGCAACGGAACCGATGAAAAATCAGCTTGTCCAACTCGAAGCAAACATTAAAGAGTTCATGGAAATGATCGATGCGAGTCGCAGCAAAATTTTACAAAATTCAGAGAAAATATTAAAAATGCTTACAGACTAATAAACTATAAAAACAACAAATTATTCTGCACTATATGCACCATCAAATAATACAATAAGATGGCTGCTCTTGTATCATAGATCTATCATATGTAGGTGTACAAATTAATTCAGTTCGTTTTCTGTGTTCAAAAAAAAATTGTTTATTGAAAAAATTAAAAAACACAGCATTCAAAGTATTTTTCGTCGAAAGGGACTATTCTTTCCCACCTCTCTCTTCGAATACAATCACCAAAAAGTGAACCCTCTCTGCCTCAAATCCAATCAAAAAGCCATTCTTCGATCTCTTTGAAAAATCCGAGAGAAAGAGGCAGTAGTCGAGAGAACAAGATCTGAAGAATACGTTACAGCCGAGTGTTGTCATGTTGCAAAATCATCTCGTCATGCCTTTCGTTCGTTTCTAGCAATAAATAATGCACGGCTCAAGCGCATTAGTTGTAGTCGATAACGTTTCGTATTTATAGTTTCAACTGGTTTTGGCAGCTTGTTGTGCACCACACCCGTCGGGCCGCAAAAGGACTTTATTTTTACTTTTTTTTTGAACGTCGAAGTTACTCTCTGTATGATATATCAGTCGGTGCAGATTCATCATGAACTTCCAAAAGTATTCATATGGACTTCAATTGCACCCTTCTTCAACTAAAATAGAAAATCAAAACTCACTTCCTGTAAATACTATTCTTTTGGCACAGACCCGTGCATTTCCGAGTAGGTAAAAATAGTGTTGTTGTTAGAAACAGACGGTAATGTACGCTAATTATTGTTGACCGATGGGAAACCTTTCCTTACTTACTTACTAACTTTACTGGCGTATTGGAAATACCAAGTACAGCCAGGTTAACCGGCGCGTACTGCATCGAAAACTTTCAAAGCTGGAGTATTCTCATCAATACGGATCACATGACCTATACAGTGTAGCCGCTGCTTCTAGCTTCGCTGAACTATATCAATGTCGCCGTATGATTCGTGCAGTTCATCGTTCCATCGTCTGCGTTATTCTCCGTTGTCAACGCGCAAAGGATCATAAATCTTACGCAAAACCTCAAAAAAAAAAACATCGGAAACAGTCATCGCCCATGCTTCCTCACCATTTCGCAGAACGGGAACGATGAGGGACTTGTAGAATTTGGTTTTCGTTGGGCGGGAAAGGACTTTACTTTTCAATTGCCTACTCAGTCTCAAGTAGCACCTGTTAGCAAGAGTGATTCTGCGAAGGACTTCAAGGCTGACGTTATTAATCGTGTTAATCCTGTTTCCCAGATGGACGAAATTATCTATGACTTCAAAGTTATGACTGTCAACAGCGACGTGGGAGCCAAGTCGCGAATGCGATAACTGTGTGTGTGGAGAAAGCAGAACTAACGGCGCGGCTTTTCATCGGCGTAAGCCAGTAATTGTACACTCTTATAGAAGTTTGTACCTTTTCTATTCAGCCCTGCAGCTCTTATTATTCTCTCCAGCAATAAATTAAAGCTTTTAGTGTTGCTTAACGTCAGTTTACATAGCCGTATAAGTTTTGCAGGAATACTAAGTTCAGACATAGCGGCGTAAAGATAAATTGTTTCCAAGATTTGAAGCATGGGGAAAGTCTGGTCTGTGGTTGGCTTGCCAGGTCTAAAGCCACACTGATAAGGTCCAATCAGTTTGTTGACGGTAGGCTTCAGTCTTTCACAAAATACGCTCGACAGGACCTTATAGGCTCCTCTCCCTTTGGCCCAAACTAGTCGGATCAGCTCGTTTACTGTACCTCCCATTAGATGACCTCGGTGACTTTGATTGGCTAACCTGTCCCTAAGCGTGGTTAGAAATGCCGCTACAACAACAACAACACTTGATGTTAGGTCAAATAAAAAGTTCATTCGGTTTTTAGACGGCGTCATTGTCCATAGTACTAGTGTTACGTGTCGCATCATGTCATACTATACTACACTGAAAACGTGTTTATTCGCGCTAAAAGTTTGTCTTTGGCAATTTTTCGATTAATTGACTCAGTACGTTATGAGCGCTCGTCAGAGAGAAAATTCGCTATATATTACAATTTTTCTTCGATCAAGGTGAAAAAGCAGCCAAAGCGGCTGAAAAAATTAATTTAGTTTATGTGCCTGATACTGTAAACGAACAAAAGCGGTTTACTAGGTGCCGCTCCGGTAATTTCGATGTCAAAAATGGACCACGCGTCGGGAGGCCTGTCGTCGAAAATTGCGATAAAATCATGGAAATTGTGGGAACAGACCGTCACATGAGCACTTATTTAATTGCTGAGGACCTAAAGATAAGCTAAAAAACCGTTTGGAACCATTTGCATAACCTTGGATTCAAAAGGAAGCTCGATGTTTGGGTGCCACACGAATTAGCGCAAAAAACCTGATGGACCGAATTTTCAACTGCGAATAGCTGCAGAATCGCAACAAAATCGACCCGTTTCTGAAGCGGAATGTGACTGGCGGTGAAAAATAGGTCACTTACGATAACATCGAGCAAATGGTCATGGTCAAAGCTCGGGGAAGCGACCCAGTCGGTGGTCAAGACCTAATGGATGGCCAGGAAGGTTTTGCTGTGTGTTTGGTGGGATTGGCAAGGAACCATCTACTACGAGCTGCTCTCCTATAGCCAAACGGTCAATTCTGCCCTCTAATGCCAACAACTAGACCGCTTGAAGGCAGCACTCATCCAGAAGAAGCCGTATGTGTTCCATCAGGATAACGCCAGGCCACACACTTTTTTGGTGACGCGCCAGAAGCTCCAGGAGCTCGGATGAGAGGCTCTAATGCACCCACCTTATTGTCCGGACCTGGCACCAAGCGATTACCATCTTTTCCTGGCCATGGTGAACGCCTTTAATGTTGAGAAGTTGGCCTCAAGAGAGGCCTGCGAAAATAGGCTCTCCTAGTTTTTTGCTTATAGGGACGCAGCCAATTGGCGTCAAACAGCGAAAAGAAAGAATAAATGGCTCGCGTAAGCGGTGTCAACGCCCTCCTAGATATGTGGTTTTGCATCTTGAAGTTTTTCCAGCAAATGGAGGGACATACAGTTTGTACTAAGCCGCCCCGAACGGCTGATGGTTTTTTCTTTGAGGAGCTTTATTTCATGTCAGAAACACACTCGGAGAGGTTGATGTTAACTGAAGAGGGGCGACCACAATTAGAAAATTGTAGCTTAATTTGTTGCTCTAAATTAATTTTTCTATATCTTTTGGATGTTGGCCGAACGGGGATTTGAACCCGAGCCTTCCGAATGGCAGTAAGCAATGCTAACCACTCGGCTACCGCGGCCGACATATATCTATGTACTCGAACAATACAAAGGGCTTTCGAACTGTGGTGCGCCTCAGATTATTTTCCAACAAATTTAAAAATTTAACCTGCATAACAGTTAATAGGTGTTGCCAAAGATTAATAAAGACAAATTGGTTTTTGATTACATCACTTTTTGCTTTATTTTCACCGTGAATTGCCATAAACTTATTAATTGTGTAATAATAGCGTGAATTTTAGATCGTTTTTATCTACATATCTATCTACACACATAAATTGTATTAAATTATTTTTTAAACATACACACATAATCAAGGTACATTTAAAGGAACCATGTACATATGTCACACACGAATGCAATAAAATAGTCTCAGATAAATTTAATCAAATGTTACTGTCATAGAAATATACAAAGACAAGAAATGAAACAAAATACATTTTACATATCACCATTCTTTTTTTTTTTTTTTTGTTTTTGTAATTGAAACTTTAACCCATTTCTGATACAGTTTTGCTATTTCATTAATAGGATTTGATTGGAAATGTTTTCTTTATAAACACTTTTTTTTAATTTTCCCCGAAAAACACATACCAATGCGCTTTTATTTGCAGCACTTCATATTCCCATATTTGCATTCGCAGACAATGCAGTAAGTTTAGGTACGTTTGTAGACTTCGTATACACATATATACGAATATTACGAAATGAAAAAAAAACGTAATGAAAAAGTTATCTGATTATACTAGCGGAAAACCGCACCGTGGCTTACTAACTTTAACTAACTGTTTAAAATACAATATGCCATATGATTTTTCCAAGTGCAGCGCTTCCCTATATTATATTTTTTTTTTAACATGTGATTGGTCAACCAATCGTGGAAATTGCATTTGAAACATGTGCGCATAGAGATCATTGCTGTCCTACTCTGGTTGAATATTAATTTTACCAGTATAAAATGTAAGTTCTAGGGTGTCAGATTAAGAGAAAGTTCCACGAATTAAAGAAATGAAAAGACAATTGATTTTTGATTTCGCTTTTTTGTTTTTCAAAATAAAATTTAATAATATTATACATAATACTCATCCGCTCCAATGCAGTAAATAAACGGAAAATAATAATTACAAAAAAGTTTAGAACTCCAATTAAAGCTAAAGGCTAAAAAAAAATAATAATAATAAAATAAAAAATATATGCAAACATATACGTATATAAACGAATATTTAAATATAAAAGGCTAAATGGAAGTGGATAATTCATAAATATACTTTATACATTATATGTCAGTTGATTGCATACACAAATACATACGCACTTTAAAAAGTTTAACTTATTTAATTTGCTTAGCTCGAAAAAAAAATACGCAAATCTTTAACGCAGTACAAATGTTTAAGGTGTAATTATAATAATAATAGTAATTAAATACACACATATATTTTTATTTATTATCTATCGTCTCTCATAATAATTTCTGCCCGGCTGGGTTGGCATTTACCCTAACAAGCAACATAAACAAAAATTGAGCTATGCGCTCGCATAAGTAATTGAGAAAACGGTAGATATTTTTTTTTTTTTAACAATGTCGAATAACAAAACTAGTAAAGCATACATGTATGTATATATTTTCGATTGCAATGAAAATTAAAATCTTTAAAATTTCACTTTTTACATTACATTATTTTATATTAATATTAAATAATAATTTCACCACGGTTTCCAACATTTAAATAGTTTTTCATGCTGCTATTTATCTGTATATATATAGTATAAAACATTTTCATTCTACTTCAGTGGTGAGGTTACACCTTTCCATATTCAATTATTAATAGAATTTTCTTTTTGCTGCCATATATGTATACATGTTATCGTCATTATAAAGCATACACGTAGTTTAAGTTTCATTAAAACTAAAATTAAAATTTATATATAGGGCATTCAAAGGGTCGCAAATAAATAATTTTTTGTTCCTTATTTCTGTGCTACAATTCGAAAAAATCATCTTGCTGCTTTTCCAGTCGTTTCAATGACTTTTGAACGTGCCGTGTTTGTGTGGTATTCAATAGCTGTGCTGTATCCGATGTGCTGCCCGACGAGCTGTGGCGCTGGTGGTTTTGATGATTTTGCCGATTTGTTTTGTAAGAATTATTTAAGTGATTGTTACGTCTGTGCTGTACGAAGTCGGTGGTAACAAACAAATCGTTATCACTCTGGCTGGTAATCATTCTGTAATTAAAAAAAATTTAAACCTTTATCAATATTTTTTATTAGACAAAGAAAATTCAGTTATTTAATCTATAAGAAATGGACAAAGTTCTAAAAGTGGCATTATCATGCAAATAAAATTAAAAGCAAGCAAAAAAAAAAATAAAACTAAAAAAAAAAATGATCAAATCCGCAAGAAAGATCATCTATGTTCCAATATATCCTTTTTTTTTAATAGTAGCTTAATAAATATCTCAGTTTTTAGAAGGGTAAATGTGCTAGTTACTGGACGATTAACTTTTTTTCAACTTTATAGTTTTTTTTTTTTTTTTGTGAAATTCCCATTTGTGAATCAACTCCAGTGAGCCCGACGTCTCCTTTATGAACGTACAAGAAAAATCCAGCAATCGGACACCCATTTAACAGTCATTTTTATTGAAAATTAATTCTATTTCTTAAAAATAAGTAAATAAATTCATTGTATTACTTATAACTTATCAACAAAAAATAAACAGTTAATTTCTGACGAGGTTCTGGGTTATCGCCGAGGTTCGCTCGACGGTTGCCGATAACGTTCAACAACAACAACAACAACAAAAATTAAATAAAACTGTTCGTACATTAAAAATAAACTTAATTTTCATTCAAAAAACGAATTTATTACATAAACAATTTTTTTTTTAACAAAATATGTATTCCAAATTAATTATACATTAATTATCCTTAAAACTGCACAGTATAAAGCTCACTTATGCTACTTATATTTTATAATTCTTTATTTAAAAGTCTCTCTAACACTAACAAAAATTATTTCTTCACTTTTTTTTATATAAAAATATTAAATTTTCTTATTTCTTGTAAAAATCCTTCGTACGGTCCATTCACTAGCGCAGTTACCCTACGCGCACCAAAAAAAAAAAAGCAAACATACAATAGATAGGCCAACTAGTCAAAAATGCTAGCCAATAGTTCTATAACATCTGTGTAGCATACTTTTAGGTCTACATTGGTGGTATTTGATACGTATGTATTTGTTACCTGAAATAACCAAATGTTCACGTTTGTTGTACGCCAAAATTTTTTTTTAAAACTCAATTATTAAACTAAGTAAATAACAATATTTCAATATTTTACATTACTAAACAAACACTGTCATGCAATAGTTAAAAATTGCGAAACTTACTCTTTTGATTTCTCTACATATTTTCGCGATTCGGAAATTGTCGAATCGATTTTGCTTAGAAACTCATTTATGCATCTCCGATTTTCCTCCTCCGGCGTCATGGCCACCACAGAGTCCAGCGATTTACTCTGTTTATTATTACTATTGCTGTGATTATTTAACGCAACATCGTCTTCGCTATTTTGCACTAACAATTCACCGGCTATTGAGTATGGACGAGTTGGTAGCATGGATGGACGTGGATTATTTGCCGAATCGACGCTACTGGTTGGTGATGCAAAAACGCCAAGTGGATCACCAGTCGCACTGCCACTATCTACGTTGTTTACGCCATTTTCTGCATTTATGTTATTTTGTAATTCAGTGTTGTTGGTAGTGATTTCTAGTGGATTATTTTCATCGGCTTTCGGATAGTACGGCGATGATTTATCAACAGGCACTAATAAAAACTGACGCAAAAAAAGACTGTCCGAGGCGAAGAGACGATTTGCGCGTCGTATCTGCTCCGTCTGTAAATGGGTAAGTGATAAGTGATTGATTATTTATTATTTTTTTAATAAAACTCGTCAATTATAGAAAGATTTTAAACACATTTCAGACAAATCAATTCATATCAAAAAAAAAAAAAAAAAAAAAAAAAAAAAAAAAAAAAAAAAAAAAAAAAAACAATTATAATATTAATGACTTGAAGTGATTATTAATTCCATAAAAAGTAACAGATATATATTGTGCAAAGGATGATTGATGCTAATTGCATTTGATGGCTTTGGATATATATGTATATATGGACATATGTCTAATAAATAATTATGATATTAAAAATAAGAAAATTACACATTATTTCATGATGTTTAATTCCTTTCGAGCTCAATAGCAACAACAAAAAAGAAACAAAATATATATGGAATTAAATGTAATTAATTAAGTTTAGCCAAAACAAATTTTACATTAGTCTAAAAATATTGGATACTGGTCATAGTACGTTTAACAGAAAAAGAAGAAGAGGAATTTGTGGAAAATTACTGCACTTAAAACACACAAAAGATTGAATTTTTGAAATTTAAAAATATGAATTTTTTTTAATGAACGAAGAGGGAATATTTTACATATTATGTACATATGTACGAATAATTTCAAGGACAAGTACATATCTTGTACTTATTGCGGTAAAACAAAATTATAAAATAATGTTCACTTAAGGCGAAGACTAACTAAATGACAAACACATATACTAAAAAGTAGTAAAAATATATATAATACTCGTATATATTAAAATTATATCTAATGCAATATACTTACAATGTATGTGTGGAGAAAATTAAGCAAATATGACACACACACGTACACACAAAAATACCGCCATTCACGTTGTGTTTAATCAAAAGGGAGATAGTGACAGAGCCAACGTTATGAAAGTGGTTATGCAAATAAATTGTTTACTAAGCCTTATCTTATTTAGATATGATGCTATCATGAGATACACGCCAGGGTTTAATGACAACTCGCTCTATTTATTTAAATCATATTCTAAGCAACACAACAAAGCCTTAGATCGTGAAAAAAACTATTAAATCTTTATAGGTACTGCACATATAACAGCTATTCAAAGCTTAATGATGCATAAAATCTCATTCACATATTATAATTACATTCAATATATAAAATATCGATTTATATATTTCTTTACACCGGCGTTACCTTTGAGTTGTACGTTTGTTTTTGAAAAATAAATCACGTGAAATCAAACTAATGCGAAGTATTACATGCCTAATGGCCAAAATACATCGTAACCATAACAGGTTTCTCTACATATTGAAATAACGTTAAGTTACCAGTCGTTTTTTTTTTCATTCTTCTTGCACAACATGTGACTCCATACCTAATTATTTTTATTTCAAAATGGTTTAATATAAAAGCTCTGCAGATTTGTACATATGTATATACACATTTATAAATACATGTATGACTGTAAATTACTTTGAAGACAAATGAAGTTTAATCAATAACTTGATTTAAAACGTGAAACCAACTTGTGAATTATTCTACGTATTGCAAAAAATTAAATGAAAATTTACCCAAGCATATATATACATATACTACACTCTCTCATCACACTGTTGAATCAATAGTATAAAATTTCATAAAATTTTATATAATCAAGCAACTAAGTAGGTATGTACGTTCATTTCATTATGCCTCTAACATACCGTGCATCCATATTTAAGTGCAATGCCCTGCAGTGTGTCCGTCTTTTCGACATCATGTCGTATCAGCGTTTCGTTGTTCCTCAAATTATGATTACAACAAGTGCTACCGTATTTTTTGAGTGAACGTGCAGATTCTCGAATAGATTGCTTCTCGTTAAACATCATGTAATCAGCATCATCCATATCGGGTACGATCTCATGGAACTGAAAAATAGATAAGAAAAATGTTATAAAAATTAAAAGTACAGACAAAATATTTAAAAACTGATAGTCCATATATACATATATATATCTACCTACATATTATACAATCATCTTGGGTCATTTAACAACTGGGGACCAATCTCTTAAAAAAAAACCAGATCTATAACCAAGATAACAGGTATGTATGTATATAGGTAAGCGCTACACATAAGTGAGCAACGAAACCTTCGCACGTATAATACAAAACAATGAGCAATCAATATGTTCAGCAATGAAAGTGCAATGTTACATCGATACATACATACATAGATACCTGCATATGCACATGTGTTAAGTTATTTACATACCTTGAAATATGTAGCAATTCAATAATTTATAATAATTTAAGACAAATTCACAAAATATTAAGCAATTTTTTAACAATTTTTTCGCAATTTTTTGTATATTAAATAAAAGTTTGCAAAATTTCCCACCAACAAATCACCTCCAATCTTTTACTTTCAAATGCCAAAGCTGACCGTTGCCAAGCTTCGCAATTGCTCCACCATATACTGCACCAGAGATCGTTGCAATAGTAAGTATGCAGCCAACAAAGCGTTTAATTGTTTTCACAATTTTTTGTTAAGGAATGCATACATATGTACGTACATATGTATGTTGTACACAAGTTGAAATCACAAAAAAAACGTCAATTTAATAAAAATACACAAGTACCCATTATATTTCCTTTCTTAAATTTTTGATCACTGGTTCCAAACTATAAACCCCTAAAATTAAATGTAAAGAGCAGCGTGTAGTTAACTTAACGCTGATAAAAAGAGTTAATGATAAAGCCAGATAAAGCTTCACAGGTAAATTATTTGTTAACTGCTCCAAAATGAGTAGAAATATGTGGATCATACACAGCTGTTTGCTACTGTCAAACAAGTGAATAGTAAGAAAATTTACAAAAAAAATTAATAAAAGCCTTTAATATTTAACTAGTATAACCGTTTTCAAAAGTTAATACAAATTTACATTTATTACAACGCAATGTTTCTCAATTATATATTTATAATAAAAACAAGTAAATAAGATTTCCAAGTTGTATTGAGATGCAACCATGTGCGCAATCTTACCAACAACTAATTTGAGTGAGCGAACTGGCATTGATAATATAATACTACAGATGTCGCTAAACTACAACTAAAAAGTTGTGTAGAGTTGTTTGCAGATGAGAATTTATTATCTTTTTTATTATTCTTACTTCTTTGTGCTATTCTCACCTTCACATTATCATAAGTTCTCTGCTGAAAATGCTCCAAACGGAAATCGCGTTGCCAACGGGTAAAATACTGTAGTGAGTAGCGGCAAATGTAGCAATTTCCACTTCAATTTACACAAATTTTGTGAAGAGTTACTTAAATGTATGTATGTGTAAGTTATTTCTTTGAGTTAGCCGTTGTATGGGGTTTCAAACTTTTCGTATTTAAAAACTTTTATTAGTAACAGATATTTGTAATCTTTAAGACTTTGGAAAACTGTTAATTGAAAATTAAATTTGTCAAAAAATTACACGTGAAGACATTCTGTTAATAAAATACATGTGTGCAGACAATTAGGCATCATATTATTTATCAACTTCATGCTAATCGATATTTTTTGTTAGGTCACCACAAAAAATTTTAAGGTTCATCTTTTATGCGTGTGTGTATATGTATGTAAGTCGGTCGGTGTAGCAGCGTATACTACCATGCGGAAGGTCATGTTACTCGACGACCTTCATACAAAATTATGTAAATTAAATTAAAAAAAAAACCAAGTTAATTTTTCTAATTTCGGCCGCCCTTCGGCTTCGAGTGTTTTTATGACATGAAATAAAAGCTGGACATAAAAATTTAACTGCCGTTCGAAAATGGCTTAGGAACTTAAAAGATCTTCCAAATATATTTATGAGTTCTTATGTTTGAGTTTTGTTGTAACATACAGACATATGTATTGAATAACGTTTACAAATCGTTTAACTTTATTTTGAAAATTCATATTCTGTAAGGAATGTGTTTCGCGCGCTTCGCTCAACTTATGGTCAACATAATCGGCCTACTCAACGTACTATTCGTTACACCATCACCCATCTTGAGATCCTACATTCATTTGGATAATATCCAAAAGGACCACGTCTAGTACGCAGTGAAGAAGATGAAATATAGCGGCCGCAGCTGAGAGTGTACACGAAGGCCGTGGACAGTCGATTCGGTGCCGGTCGTAGTAACTCAGACTGGCGTATAGAGCGACTTGAGGCATTTTAAGTAGTGATCTGAAATTGAAAGCATACAGCTTGTGTAAAAAATTAAAGCCACTCGACCTTCCCAAGCGACATCGCTTTGCTCTAAGGGCTCTTGAAAAGTTACACGAAGTTTTCGGCCCAAATTTTGTTCAGCAACGATGCGCCTTTCTGGCTCAATGGGTAATAAAACAAGAAAATTGCCGCATTTGGGACGAAGAGCTGCGATTTCATTTAGAAAAAAAAAAAAAAAAATGTTTGGTGTGGATTGTGACCAGGTGGAACCATCGGTAAATATTTCTTCAAAAATGATGCCGGCGAGAACAAAACCGTTATCGCGGCATGATAACCGACTATTTGATGCCTGAAATTGAAGCTCGTGATCTCAACGACATTAGGTTTCAACAAGACGGCGCCACTTTCCCCACATAGCATCAATTAATGGATTTATTGAGAGAACACTTCGGTGAGCAGATAATTTTAAGTTTTGCGCCGATCAATTGACCACCGCTAGACTTTTTTTCTGTGGTTTTGTGTAAAATCTACAATTTATACTTCGATTCAGGCCTTGAAGCGACACATCATGCGTGTCAATTACCAGTTACCAGTCGAAATGGTCGAACGAGTCATTGAAAATCGCACTCAACGAATGGACCATCTGAGACGTAGCCGCGTGCAATATTTGAAGGAGATAATATTCAAAAAATTTTTAAATGTTAATTGTTTTTAATTGTTCTTTCGAATGATAATAAAAAATCTCCATTAAATTTTAATTTTCTGTGTTTTTTTCTTTAAAATAGTGGGGAACCTCGAAATGCATCACCCTATATGTATTTATGTGTATGCCTTTATGGGAAATATATTATTAAGTGACCATGAGAAGGAGCATTTGTATAAACAATTTAGAAGCGAAGTGATAAAATCGGTTGCTCCGGATTCTTTTGCGGCCGCTACTTAGTTTCTAAAGCAACGGTTAATTATAAGTATCTACGAACTTGTAAACAAAAAATAATAGTAACGTAATCACATAAGCTTAATAAGTAAAAAACCAGCGCGAAAATGCCGATTGCCGAAAATCATAAAAACCCCGAATTCCGCGAGGCGGATGACGAATGGTTAATAAACCATTTGTTCGAAAAGAAATTTGCAACTTTCAATTCTTATCTGAAAAATGACACTATTTATCTCGGTTTCCGCATTGTCACTCAACGTCCTGCGTTCAAATCGGCTTCGGTACAAAAACAAACCAGAATCAACCGCTCAAAGAGTAGAGTACCGTTCTTCATGTGCACATAAGCAGATATATATGTCCATTCGCTTGTACGTATGTGATATATAATATATATGTATATATACGTTATCGGTGTTTGCATTAAAACGAATATTTATCAAGCGTTTTCTCTAAGATCGTTTGTTTTATTAGCAAAACAATAAAAGAAAAAAAAAGTGCAAAAATAGATAGAATATAAAATACTCTGGTGCGGAGAGATGTATTAACTAAAACAAAACCACGTGATGTCGATGACGAGCGAAGCTTGTTTTCATATTTCCATTTTTTAATAAGCAATTTAAGGTTTTTGTTTTATTTTAATTTCTTCAAGAAACACAAAAATTGCTTTGAACGGCAAATGCGCACATGTGAATATGTACATGCATGCTACACATACACATACTCATACATTAGTACATTTGATGATTTTTGCAAGCAATTGCACTAGAAGGCAGATTGTAAGAGGTGAATTTTTCGTTAATTAGTTATTAAACAATTTTGTATTATTTAAAAGCATTTCGTCGATGCAAATTACTTTGAGAATCGCTATAATTGCCATCATGCGATTCACGACACCTAAACATTTTTGAGCTGTGTATGCCTTTTCAATAAATTATATGTCATTATTAATCAAGCCGTGTGGTTAGCATTGAAGACCAGACTTCAGGTCCTGGTTCAACTAACATCTAAAATTATAGAAAATTAGTTTTTCTAATTACGCTCGCTCCTCGGCTTCTAGTGGATACGAGGTATGTTCAAAAAGTATCGCGAATTTTGAATTTTCGCGGGTTACGTATAATGGAATTTCGAATTTTTTGTGACCTAAAATCTCAAATATATATGTTACAGTTGTGCGATCTGGCCGTTTCCGGCATATATTTAAATGTATCGATGAGCATCTGTGCGCCAAGTTTGGTTGATATATCGCAAAAACTGAAGAATTGTTTGCATACAAACAGACGAGCAGGCCCTATTGCGTCCCTATTGCCAAAAAACTCGGAGAGCCAATTTTCACACGCCTCTCTTCAGGCCAACTTCTCACCATTAAGCGCGTTCGCCACGGACAGGAAAATATGGTAAATACTTGGTTCCAGGACTATAAGGTGGGTGCATTAGGATCTCACATCCGAGCTCCTGGAGCTTCTGACGCGTCACCACAGACGTGTGTGGCCTGGCGCTTTCCTGATGGAACAAAATTCGGCCTCTGTTGATCAAAGATGGCTTCTTCTAGATGAGTGCAGCCCTCAATAGATCCAGTTGTTGGCAGTAGAGGGCCGAATTGAGCGTTTGGCCATAGGGGAGCAGCTCGTAGTAGATGATTACTTGCCAAGCCAACCAAACACACAGGAAAACCTTCCTGATCGTCAATCCGGTCTTGGCCACCGCCTGGGCCGGCTCTTCAAGCTTTGACTACGTCCGTTTGCGTTCGATGTTATCGTAAGTGACCCATTTTTTAGCGCCAGTCAC